AGTTGATGCTTGGAACATAAGTCTTCATTTATGTACACTTGTATCCTAAAGCCCAAACACTGCTGCCAAAACACACAGGGTTTGCTGTCTTCATGTGGCCTTTCCAGCACTCTGCACAAAAGGAGAAATTGCCTGATAAATCTCTACACAGCTGAAATCGTAACAGTTGCAACTACTATGAGTAAGACTTTTGCAAGAATTGTAGTTTAAGTTGATGGCTTCAATTTCAAACACACTTTTCCATTAGTGAAAGAACCCATGACCTCTGGTTTCCTAAAGGCTTCTCCCTCAAGGGAAAGCTCCCAGGTAGATTTTCTGACATCCAACAACCAGTGAGAACATCTGCACAACCTAGTTTCCTGAAGGTGTAAGACACAAGGACAGAATAGACTTAATTTGTTTACTGCACCTCATTTGCTGCCACTATAATTTACTCATCTTTTTTCCATTCTTAAAAAAAAAAAAAAAGCGGGAGGACGAACACATCTTTACTTCCTTGCAGTTAACTACGTATCTTCTGCACTCAACTGTAAAACCAATAACCACAAAGATATAGAATATCTGTAACCTCAATATCGCACGAACAAGGGAAAAAAAAAACCCAAAACATTAATACTGCCTCTTCTCAGAAACTTCACCCACACAACAGTTAAAGCAACACCTGTGTTCCTGTATTTACAATGGGCTGCCAGACATCTCCACCCCTCAACAAGCCTTTGCCAGGACAGCGTGCATAACACGCAGTTAATCAGCTGTATTTCAATTATGAGGACAGAAATTATCTTCATAATATTAGCTGAATGTAGTCGAAACTCAAATGGAAATGGATACTACGGCACATCTCTGAGGAACGCTCAGAGCCAACAGAGATTTCTCCCTGCACAAGCTGTGCTAACCATGAAAACCACAAATGGCACCCTGAGCAGCGGTAGGACTAACATAGAAAAGCCTTCCCATGTGATTTAACAATAAGAGTATAAACCAGTCATTATTAATCATGTCACTGGAAAAACAAGCTGCACGGGCTAAGTTGATTTAGCAGCAGCCACCAAGGGACAGCCAGACTATGGCTTGCCAGCCCAACGCAGATCACAGCCCCATCTTCAGCGTCTTCATGGACACCATGCCTTGCTTGCAGAGGTCACGGGGCCTCAGCATGTTGTTGAGGTGCGTCTCCATCGAAGACAAAGGCTATGGCAAAGAGCAGACGACAGCAAGGCACATCCTCTGAGCCAGTCATCAGTGCAGAACCCAGTTTGGCTCAGTACAAAAGCACACGCAAGCCCAAGTAGGACTCCGCCGCACCTTAAATAAATTTACACTAGGTCTATAGCAGACCCGCCCTCCCTCTCACCTTCCCACAGGTCACTGTAAGCATTCATACAGCCCAGCTGCAAGGCAGCTCAAAGATCCAGGTTGCTGACCCACCCCAACATTAACAATAGTAGGTGGTTCACGCACAAGCCAAAGAAGGTGGTTAGTTTTTGAGCCAACGCGCAGTTTATCATCTGACTACAACATGCCACTACTGGTGCAAGTCAGAGAGACAAGGAAGGGTGGCACGGCAGCTCCAACAGCAGGAGATGATCCCCCCAGCGCCTACGAAGCCTACCTATCTACAGAGGGGCACCTTCAGTTACTCAAGTCAGCACTGTCACCTAAAGAACAGCCCTGCCCTCCACGTACTTCCTACCTTCATAGAATCATAGAATGGTTTGGGTTGGAAGGGACCTCAAAGATCATCTAGTTCCAAACCCCCTGCTATGGGCAGGGACACCTTCCACTACACCAGGCTGCCCAAAGCCTCATCCAACCTGGCCTTGAACGCTTCCAGGGATGGGGCATCTACAACTTCTCTGGGCAACCTGTTCCAGTGCCTCACCACCCTCACAGGGAAGAATTTCTTCCTTATATCTAATATAAATCTCCCCTCTTTCAGTTTAAAGCCATTGCCCCTTGTCCTATCACTACATGCCCTTGTCAAAAGTCCCTGCCCAGCTTTCCTGTAGGCCCCCTTTAAGTACTGGAAGGCTGCAATAAGATCACCCCTGAGCCTTCTCTTCTCCAGGCTGAAGAGCCCCAACTCTCTCAGCCTGTCAATGCAATGAACTCCATGAAAGACCTGATCGCTACTAAAGCATAAGCATTGTTATTTATGCATTTCTGGCTTCAGCCCTCCTTCCCCCAGATCTGGTTTCCAATGTAGTTTCACAAGCATCTGAGGAGGGCACACCACGAGGCCAAGAACAAGCGTTTCTCCTGGCAGCAGCGCTAGCAATCATATGTGCAGGTAAACTACAGCCCAGGCCAGCCCAACAAGGGGTCAGCTGCTG